AACATTTTTAATATACATACCACAGATGCACAGATACCGATACTAGTATCGGTATCAGTGCCAATACCGAGTATTTGCACATGTTCTTGTACTCATCCAAATCCTCTGATTCTACAGCTGGTGAGGGCTGCATAATGGGGAGTGGCTGAAGGAGTCGGAGACGGCACTAAGGCAGGTAAGATTGCCTGGTGGCTGGCCACATAATCATAATAATTTTAATTTTTTTATGGGGGAAAAAAACTTTCTTCATGTATAATGAACCAGCTATGAATCCCCAGAACACTTGGGGTAAGGAAGGAATCAATGAAGGAAAGGAACCCATAGTGTTGCCCTTGCAAGTTGCAATATTAATTGCTGCTGGAATCAGTCCTAAAATTCCCCACCTCCTTGGGTTCTTCTACTAGGCAGAGCATGTTTCTAATTTGTTTACCGCCTTGGTGGACTAAGGATGACCCCCTTTTTTGAGTCACTGACCAAGGACTAGGGGCAGTTGGCTGTAGGCTGGAGACAGGGAGCCACATGGCCAGAGTATGTGGTGGTATACTGTAGGAGCTGATGCCTAACGTATGTTGTCACTAGTACTAATGCTGGAGGTGTGATGTAACTATGGGCACTGAGAATGCATGGAGTGACATAGTGAATATGTGGGATGCGTCCTCCATATGAATACAACCGTGGATGCAGTGCAGGCTTCTATGCATGGGCAGTCCACCCCATACACAACTGTGAAATAGAGAAATAGAGGTGACATAATGTTAATTTTGTGGATTTGTGCATTGTCAATACAGATTGCTGGTATATGTAAAGTAAAAAAAATTAATAAAAGCAACCAAAAAATTCAAGTCACCCAATGAAAAAAAAAAAGTAAAAAAAACACCTGCGTCGGGAGTGCCCACGTGCAAAAATTAGAAATGCGCCCTTTGCGCCACACATGTTACATATCACCGCGAATGTCGGAGCATGAGCAGCAATTCTAGGGTCATTAATCACTGTTAACACTAAACTGATGATCAGTAAAAGCTTTTAAAGCATTGCCTATGGCCACTTTTGGGTATGGTAGTTTTTGGTAGTTTCTAGTAGGCACGCGCAATCTTAAAGCTTGACATGTTTGGTGTCTATTTATGCGATGTGACCACCATCTTTTATATTTTACCATTATAGTTATATTACTATTAGCCAAATTTGTCAATAATAAATGTTTTATAACATAACAAAGGGAAAACTGTTTTTTTTTTACAAAATGTTCGGTACTGTTTTCATTATATAGTAAAAAATAAAAAAACTAGTAATGATTAGATACCACCAAAAGAAAGCTCTATCTGTCTCCGAAAAATGACATAAAATTAATTTCATTTCAGCACAGCGTTGCATGACTTAATGAATGTCAGTGAAAATACTGCAGCACTGAGGAAGGGGGTTCAATACCAGTGGATACTATCCGCTTCTAATAAAATAAATATATTTTCTGGTTTTTTTATCCTAGGTGGAGCAAATTATTTATTGGAGCCTTTCAGAGATACCAGCAGAATGTCAGCGGTGTGGAAGTATTTTAAAATTAATGAGGACAACCCACACATGGCAGACTGCAAACTTTGTCCTGCAAAAATAGCGAGAGGTGGATCAAAGTAAAGTTTTTATAATACCAGTAATCTGTTAAAACATTTGAAATTGAAGCACAAAAGTGAATATGATGAATTTGCCGCTAGCAGTGCTAGCAATAGCACTCAGCATCTAATGCTGCAGGAAACCTTTGCAAGAAGAGATACATTCGCAATAGACAACCCGAGAGCTGTGAAAATAATCGAGGCGCTTAGCCAATTTATTATTCTGGATAATCAGCCACTTTCAATAGTCCATAATATGGTTTTTCGTCAATTTCTTAATGTTTTGGAGTCGAGGTATGATATTCCCAGTGGTTGCTACATCACAGATGCCATCTTACCGCAGATACACAAGGCAGTTAAAAAGCACATTTCCAGCATGTTGCAGATGGACATGAAGGCAATTAGCTTCACCACTGACATTTGGAGCAGTAGTGTGAGTCCAGAGTCTCTCACCAGCTTAACAGCGCAGGGAATAGATTGTGATTTCTCTCTACAACAAGTGATGCTCCACGCAAAGAAATTTCCAGACTCACACCGGTCAAGCGATAGCGAGCATGCTTGAGGAAATACTTAAGACTTGGGCGATTCCCAAAACTTCTGTTCACGTTGTGGTCTGCGACAATGCTAAAAACACGATAAAAGGTATGGAAGATGCTGGACCAGTATTTCATGTGTGGCACATATACTGCAGCTGGCTGTCTCTGAGGGCCTGTTATTACAGCGCAGCTTTGCAGAACCTGTTGGAGTCGGGCACAGAATAGTTGGCCAGTTGAAACATTCCAACCTAGCATACTCTCGGCTACAGGACATCCAGATACAGCTCAGTCAGCCAGTTAAAAGGCTCCAACAAGACGTGCAGACTCGGAACAGCACATTTTACATGCTGCAGTCCCTGATTGAGCAGACCTTTGGACTGTATGCATCAGAATATGAGTTCCCTGTCACTATTACCACAAGCCAGTGGAATCTTATGGTGCTGGACACCTTGGCTCCCTTTGAAGAGCTGACAAGTCAACTGAGTTCATCTGAAGCTCTTGCCTCAGATGTTATTCCTGCTGTCACTGTGGTACAGAGAGTGCTATTGAGCGTGGATGAGGACCATGGTATCAAAACAATGAGGAGCAATTTACTTGCTGCTTTGCAGAAGCACTTCACTGATACGGAGAAAAACCCTCTTTATGGCATCGGTACTTTACTTGATCCAAGGTAATTATGTTTAATTTTTGCTTTTAACTCGAATTGTTTTATTTAAAAGTGCTCTGATTTGTCTGTTTTTCTTAATGCACAGGAAGAACTTTATGCTTCTTAATTATATATCATTCACATTCATCATTGTTTACTTTGTTCTTTCTAGGTATAAGGAGCGATTATATTCTAATGCAGAGAATGCCAGGCATATAAAAGTAATGTTGATGCTGGAACTGCAAAAAAAGTCTGAACAAACACCAACATCTGAGATGCATGAGGAACCAGCTGCCAAAAGGCCTTGCAGTGACCAGCCAAGTACCAGTCTGGACAGTGTCTTTGCAGAAATTGCTTGGGAATTTCCATCAACATCTGAAAGTAGTGCACCAACAGCTGCTAACATATAGTGGAAACATATCTGGGAGACTTCCAGTACTGAGCAGTTGTTAAACTGAGATTTCCAGCTCTGGCTCAAATGGCACAAATATATCTTACAGCGCCATGCAGTAGCGTGGAAAGTGAACGGATTTTAGCTCTTCGTCAAATGTCCTTACCGATAGCAGAAACAGGCTTCTAGCTGAACATGCAGAGATGCTTGTGTTCCTTAGAAAGAACTTGCCATTACCTTAAGAAAAAGTCTAGGAGTGTTCATAGGAGAAGTGAATTCACTACTCCTATAAATATTGGACTAGATTACACTTGATAAGCTTTACCAATGCTCTTTTCACATTTCCAACTCCATAGAATTTGATGGGGTTGGAAATGTAATGAGAGCATTGATGACGCTTACCAATGAAATGTAATCTAGCCAATAGTGTTGCTCCCCATGATTACACACTGAGTGCACAGTTATATGTTACTGTATTGCACCTTTGTTTGATTGTGATTTTACCTTTGTTATTTATTGCTCTTAACGTGTTATTATTATTAATATATTTTATGTTAATATTTAATTATTTTATTAACATCTTCTGAGAATTTTCTTTGATTTGGTACAGCTTTGTGACAACATAAGCATAGTAAACTGTTTTATTTTTTCACAATCATGTCTTTTGAGTTACAGTTCTTCATAATTATTGAGAAACTGCCCTAATCATTAGTTTGTATTGTTTTACAAAAAATGCCACCTGTCCCTGAAAAAGTATCGGTAATTGGTAGCAGTACTCATACATAATACATACATTTTAGGCAATAAGCTCAGAAATTACCAGGCCACTATGATTCATTTTCTTAGCTCCTCTTTTAACTACATTTTGTTCTGTAGACATGCTGATGTTATACTATTATTTAAGAAAGGTAAAAAAAATGGAATGTAAGTTTGTCACATGTGTTGTATGTAAATTACCTGGAAGTAGGTAAGAAAGAGCAAACTAATAAAAGAAAATCGGATAGGGTTCATGATGAATGGGTCAAGTCTAACTAATATGTTAAATTTTTTTAAGGCTTACAGCAGAACTTTTGGTAGAAAACAAAAACATTGCTAGCAGGTATGATTTGATTGCAGAGGAGACAATGTATTTTTTTTCTGCAATAAAATTTTCTTATATGTGTGGGAAGATGAAGATGCCAAACCCCAAATAAAAACCTGGCAAAGATGTCGACACTGGCGAGAAAGCTCACAGATGATGCATCACTAAAGCGGAGGTGAATGTGAGGGACATTATTTTTGCTTGAAGTAGGTATTACATTTGACTATGTGATGCTATTCCTTTCATTAACCTTGTACCGAGGTTGAGAATGCAAGGGCTAGGAATAAATACTTGGACATGGGTAACATCCAGTTAAATTATAGAAGGGTTAGTCTACCCAGGGGTTTGTGTTTTGCTTCTGAATTACATTTTTAATGGATATAAAATGGTAGGCCACATATCGACTATGGAATATTATTCTAAGCATTGCATTGCAAAAAGGAGCTAGGGAATTTGAACAGGGTACAAAGGTGGACAATTAAAGTAATAAAAGTCATGGAAGGTTTCAATGGGTATAGATTGTTTATACAGAATGGACTTTCCCAGTCTTTTCCTAACTTAGCTGCAAACATCTAAGATAGGAACATGGGTGTGACAATGAGTTAGACATTAAAAAGAGCCACACATTATTTTACATATGACTGAGATATGGTTTGTATCCATTAAGAGTAGTACTTGAAAGAAGGTTATTAGAATTTGACTAATCCTAATAAAGTATAAACATGGTGTGTGCCGACCATACCTTCATGTAAGTGTTGAGAAGAGGGATGCGACCTTCAGCAATATCCTTCTTGTTTCCAACATAAATCTTTCCTGGAAGTCAAGAACATGGACAGAAGTTAGGGACAGCACAAGTAACTTATCATCTTACTGTCCAATACAAGTTAAATTGGGCTGCAGAGAAGTTCACTTCCCTTGACATTAAAAACCAGAGGCACAGACAGCACCAATTATAGAGAAGGCACAAGGGACACAGAAATGTTCAGTCAGATCTCTTGAGAATGGAGAATTCCAATTCTCAGATCACTAACACTACAGCTACTGTACATACCTGGGAAAGGGGGCAGGGAGCATATGTATGGTGCAACCTCTTTCTCTGGTCCATAGTTCTCCTCTAGCTTAGTGTGCAGTGTGAAGAACTCACTGTATCTTCTGTATATAATATACTTACTGCCTCCTTTTGTTTTAACTTCAATTACAAATGTCTGCAGAAAGAAAACAAACAACCCATTATGATAAGATGTGCAGTAAATAGTACTATATAGGACATTTATATATATACTGTGCATTTATAGCATTACAGTAGGCTTTTCATGTTTGGGATTTCTTACAGGGGGGTTGTACATCCAGTGCTGAATTTGGCTAATCACAGTGTGCTATACCAGTGAGATCCTACCCCAACACACACATTGGTCTTTCCCTGAACCCTGGCCCCAACATGCACACCTCACTTACCAGTATCCATCAATCTCTTTGGTCACCAGCCAACAAAGCACTTCTGTCTTGCAGCACTAAGGTTCTGGTTCAAATACCAGTCAGGACACTATCTGCAAGGAGTTTGAATGTTCTCCCGGTGCGTGGGTTTCCTACGGGTACTTCGGTTTCCTCCCACATTCCATGCAGGAAAGTTAATTGGCTCCTGTCTAAAGTGGCCCTGTTAATTTGCTCCTTGAGGGCAGGGACTGATGTGAATGTGCAACTATGTAAAGTGCTTAATAAATTGGCAGTGCTATGTAAATACCTGTAACAAATAAATCGTTTACAGTGAATATACATTAACCAATTAGTGACCAGCTTCCACTGTATGTGCAAAAACCCTTACATGACTAATCTCCAATGACCTGTCTCTAGTATACTATAGTGCATAAATGTCTCAGTCAGTGGCAGATCTGGGATCCCGCACAGCTTCCTGGTATCCCAAATAGCCCTGGTGAGACCTTGTGCAGGCTCCTGAGACCCCACGCAGCCCTCCTGGGATCAGGGCCGGCCTTAGGCCTTTAGGCGCCCTGTGCGAGAAAGCATTACAGCGCCCCTCAGTGACCACACCCCTCATTGGCCACACCCTTTAGTGGTCACACCCCCAGTAACCACACCCATTTATCACCCATATTTTTGGTAAAATATAAAAGATGGGGTCACGTCGGGTAAATAGACACCAAACATGTCATGCTTTAAAATTGTGCGCACCCGCAAAATCGCAAAAACTTACCATGCCCAAAATTGACCATAGGTGACGCTTTAAAAGCTTTTCAGTTTAGTGTTATCAGTGATTGATAGCCCTACAATTATTGCTCTCATTCCGATGTTCGCGGCGATATGTAACATGTGCGGCGTAATGGGCGAAATCGTCGTTTTCACACGTATGCGCACC